GTGCACCAGGAGGGGGGGGGGGAAGGGGAAAAAAGAGAGATACAGAGGCAGAGAGACGGAGAGAAAGAAGGTGTTTCTAAATTCAAGGTCCCGTCTCTGGAAATTTCAAGCTCTGTCTATAAGGTTCCTACAAACCTTTGTTATTCTGCATGGGATCCTATGGGAAAGTGCCTAGTGTCCTTTGTACTTTCAAAGGTCCTACAGGTAAAGACGCTTTTATATATATATATGTAATCTCGAAAACAAGAACTTCATCAGGAGACACTCCTGGTGGTGTTTGGTTGGCTGGTGGGAAGGGTGGGCTTTTCTTTTTTTTTCTTCGCTTTGGCCTCAAATTAAAGCAGAAAGTATAAATTCATCCCTTTCCCCCCCTCAGCCTCTGCAGCCCCCTCCCCGTTTCAAAGAGCACATCTTCTTCTAAAAACTCAACCCGCAAAAGGCAAGAGACAAGTAACAGCCAGGTATTATAACGGGAGCTGGACAACGGTCTTGCTGGAAGTTGTTACAGCAGATACGAGCGGTTTGGCGTTTTTTTTTTTCTTTTTTTTTTTTTTTCCCCTCAGCACAGCCACCGCTGCACGGAGGAGGAGGAGGAGGAGGAGAAAAGGGCACATCTTTGAGTGGGTTGGGCAGACCATTTCAACCGAAGCAGTAGTGTAAAAAAACAAAACAAAACAAAACAAAATGCTGAAAATGAGAAGGGCTGGACGCGGTTCGCATGGGGATGTGCGGAGATACCCGTGCGGCCACCCCACCCACGCCCTCGCGCGCCTACAGATCTGAATGGCCCTCTTAGGAAAATACCAGGCTCATAAAGGGACAGTTTGCCATCACTTTTGTTAAAGTCTTTGAGTCATGTCCTGGAAGGTTGGCGCAGGGCAGAGCGAATGTGCTTCGTGACAGCTAACGCTTTACAATTTCGTGGCACCCTGAATTAAATACGCTTTACGTGCTGGGGGAGGGGAGAGGAGGGGAGAGGAAAAAAAAAAAAAAAAGAAGCTAAAATAGATTTGACGACCATTGGCTTTCTGCTATCAGAACGGTATAGACAGTAAATCCTTACTTTCAGGTTCCACTATTATGACATTTCGCTTGCACTTGCAAAACGTGACAAACGTGTCTCAAGCGATCATTTAGGAAATTAAATTGAACAAAGGTTCTTCGCTCTTTTTTGGTGCTTGTTTTGCACCCCCCGCCCCCGCAGCTTCCTTAAGTCTAATTTAGCAATTTCAAACGGGAAGACTCGCACCAATTTATACCCGAAATGGGCAATAAACCCTGGGTCCAAAACGCGAGGCGCGGACTCAGAACTGACCATTGCAAACTATACTTTAAAAAAAAAAAAAAAAAAAAAAAAGGGGGGGGGGGAAACCCAGACGTTTTTCGGCAGTTTTGGGACATGCTTTTGCAATGCCTTCGAACGAAAGCCCCGGCTTTTTCGGCGGTGAGCTGGGCGGGGGCACTGCAGCCTCAGCCTGGCAGCTGCAATTGCAAAGGAATATTTTATACTTTTTGTTGTCGTTTTGGTCTTTTTTTTTAAAACAAGGATACCTTTACATACAGCACTGCCTGTGCCGGAGGAAGCCCTCCTCGCCGTGCCGGCGGTAGCAACGCCGGGCAAGGGCCCCGCGGCCGCGGAGAGCCGGGCGCGCCGGGGCGGCGCCCTCTGATGGGGGTTCCCTTCCTGCAGCAGCTCCCTTCCCAAAGCTGCTGCCTTCCCCCCTCCTCCTCCCCGCCCCGGTTATACCCCCTAGCCGGGAGTTACAAACAGCCAAACATTTCCCCTGCTGGAAATGATGCTGATATCAGTGTTTCCTCCGTTAGGATAAAGACGCAGCTTCTTATTGACACCGATTTTTTCTTAACAGACAGCTCAGTGTTTGAACCTCTCCCTTCTGATTCGAATAAATCTTTTATCCCCCACTTCTAAATGCGGAGTGTAGCCTGGGTCAAATATCCAAATCATCTCAACGAGGTGTCTGTTAATAGCCCTGGGAGGGAGAGGACCTGCAACACCGTGATGGCCGCTTTGGTGACAGGTCAGAAAAAAAAAAATCAATTCCTCTTAATTCAACAAGTTATGCTCCTCTCATTTCATATGATGTTTCCGGGATATATATATTTTTTTAAACTTTGCCTGCACCTAGTCAAGATCCTGTTTCAGAAATGGACTTTCAGACCTGCTCTGCCTTTTAAAGCCAGCATGGGTCTCTATAAGAAAGTATATACCCCTCTATATCCAACTCCCAGCAAATCCGTATTATTGGCTAGAGTTTAAAATAAATCAATTTATCTCAGCGCCCTCTGCTGCTCGCTGCAGGCTCTCATGTAAAGGCAGGTTTCTGACAGTTCTAACTAAAAATCCAGTTTTTTTGGAAGTGCTTGGTACCTGTTCTTGCAGACTAGCTCTTTTTATTTTTCCTGACGCTTTTCTTCCATATGTTCTCACCTGTATTTCAGAATTCAGTACTTTTTATTAAAAAGTTTATTTGCAATTTAATTCACAGGTGAAAAAAATAGAGCATTTCAGGTGTCTCAAAATGTAGCTTAAAATTTACTGCCTGCTTATTAATAGATTTACAAAAATCATTGCTTTGGTGTGCATTTTATACCTTTTCTTTGTGAATAATTCCAAGACTCATCCCTTAAAATAAATCCAACTTCCTATATTGTTTGCTGGTAAATCTAGTTTCTTTATTACATCTGCAGACATAACCAGGGTTTTTCATAGAACCATAGAATCACAGAATCATAGAATAGTTTGGGTTGGAAGGGACCTCTAAAGGCCATCTAGTCCAACCCCCCTGCCGTGGGCAGGGACATCTGCAACTAGAGCAGGTTGCTCAGAGCCCCGTCCAACCTGACCTGGAATGTTTCCAGGGATGGGGCATCCACCACCCCTCTGGGCAACCTGTGACAGTGTCTCACCACCCTCAGTGTAAACAATTTCTTCCTTATATCTAGTCTGAATCTACCTTCTTTCAGTTTAAAACCATTACCCCTTGTCCTATTGCAACAGGCCCTACTAAAAAGTCTGTCCCCATCATTTTACATTTTCCTAAAACCACCAGTGCTCATTCTTTGTGGAGGGACATCACCAAACCCTCTCGTTGCTGCCTGCTCTGTTAGATACCAGGAGTAGTTTACAGTCAACCAGGAAAGCTCAACTACATGTGCTGAGCCCCCATGGACAGGCCCAAAGAGTTTGCCACATTTAATAACCCTGTGAGGAAGAGGCTGTGGGCTTTCCCATCACTGGTGACCTCCCTGGGGACACCCTTTGCCACAGCCCCTTTCAGGCTTTTCCTAAAGCCAGGATCAGGGTGAAGGAGTCACCCCTGGGCATCAGGATCCACCTCCCGCTGCCCTGGGGGGCCACCCCCCCTATACCACTGCTTGCAGCCAGGGAGGACACGGCAGAGACAGTAACTCAATCTGAAATGTCTTCCCTGAAAAGCGCTCCAAAACATCCTAATAACCATGCATAGGAGCAGGCAGGCTAGAAAGGGCTGGTGTGACTACCACAACCATCAGTACTACCCACCTGTGAAAAGAAGGGATGGAAATATCTTTCTGAAGGCTAGCAGAATCTTCTCTAGATTCCTGGCCATGCATACAAGAGGAAGAGAGTAGAAAACTCTGCATCAGAGAGAGACTCAGTAATGAACGATCAACCCAAGAGTCACAAAACAGAAACCCCAGG